TAAACTAACTTAAGCTAGTAAACACATTTAGTCCATTACATAGCAATTAGCAAATGCATCTAGGTCATCACACATGCTCCTAAGGAAGGGTATGAAAGGTTCAGTTTCTGGACTGAGGGATTTGAAATAACTGTTTGCTGAAGTAAAGAACTAAAGTGTGCCATATGTTCTATGCCCTTTTACCTCTAGGCTTCAAATAGCCCATTTAATTTTGTCGTAAGAAAGACTTGGGACTAATTTGCTAGCAAAACTCTTGCTGCTGGCTGTTCAGTTTGCCTGCTCCCAGATATCACAGCCTGGGGTTTCCAGAAACATAGCTGCAGAGGATGTGGCTCATATACATGATTTTCAGCACCAGCCTCATGGCACAGCAGTGCCTTAATGTCCTGGTCATGGACTAATTTTTTCTCTGCCTCTTTTAATCTCAGCACATGCACCATTTTCCACCACATTCTTCCAACAATACATGTGATTACCTTTAAGTTTGTTCTTTGAGAAATACTTTGTCTACTTCCAGAGACAACATGTTTCCCCAAATAAAACTGCACCTAAACTATAAAATAACAACTGCTCAGTAAATTTGATATGAAAAAAAATTGTAAAAGAGAATTGTGCTTTTCTATGTCTAACTTGGTTGCTTTTCTCACTTTTTGATTTTGCTTTTGCCCATTTTTTAGTTTTCATTCTTCTATAGAGAACAAAATGAAATTAAACTTTCTGTGTCAAGGGTTCTCTTCAGTCTCATGTTTTGCTTCACTCTCTCATTGCCCTGGCTCTCATCCTTTATGTAACACTTTTATCTGCCAAGGTCAGGTCTAACAGACAGAAGTGAGAGCTGGCAACCAGTTCTTTCCACTGTTGCTTGCAAATGACAATGAGCAAGACTTTGCAAACACTGAATATTTTCTCAAGAGTGAAATACTCCTGCCACTACACCCCAGTTTTTCATTATTTGGTAGTCCCACAGCTCATCTACTCCCTTGGAAACATCTTCAATAGGTGCTTCACCTTCTGTGCTTTGTAATGTGCTTAAATTAGTGGGTTAGATCTTTTCCATTTCTTTATGCATGGAACGCTAAAGTCTGGGAAGTATAAGAGAATGATAACCATGAACATGAATATTTCCCAATGAGGAGTCATGGTGTCATTCTCCAACCCTACCAGAATCCTTCCCTGTGTTTGAGTGTTAGAACTCATTTCATGGCTTCAGCATCATAAAAGTGGCTAGTCAGCTATTTTTGCTATTGTTTTGACAATGGCTAATTTGTCTTTCTGTAGGGTGGACTCAGAACTTGCATTGAAAACATCACAGGGTGGGAAAGGAGAGGTGACCTTCAACATCAGCATTCAAGCCCAAAATTCCAAAGGGGCTTCTGGGCTTTTGTCCCAGATGCTTAATCTCTTCCTGAGCTCACACTCCAACAGAAAACCACAAAGGCGATTACACCAATGCAGCACGATCACTGACTTGCCACTTCTTTTCAAAGCTGTGTTTAAAAGTAAAATGCCACTTCTTAGACTTCCTCCTTGTTACACAGCCTGCTTTAATGTTCCATCAAAACAAAGAAAACAACTGTTCCCACATTAGGCATACATTAGCTATGGGGGAAGAAAAAGAAAAACAATTCATTATTACACGCTTTGGAAAAGGAAAGCAGCCAGGGTGTGTGCCTAGACGACAAATTTCTATAATCTCCACGCCTATAATTTACTTCAGAAATATGCGGTTACCTTGAAGAAGAGAGGGCTCTTCCCAGCTTGCCAGTATAATGAATGATTCAGGTGCGAATGGAAACACATGAAGGGAAAAGTAAAGATCTAAGGAAGACAGTTTCAAAACTGTAAGGCTAAACAATGTCTCCTCAGACCTCACCCACTCAAATTCCTGCCCCACAACTCAGCAAAAGGAGACAAGCTGTCTTGATACTGGCACCCTGCTGCAGTCAAATAAAAAAAAGGCAAGTATTGAAACCCACAGAACAGATGGCAAAGGAGGCATTTCAAGCACTCTCAGATCATCCTGTGAGCTGAGAACAGATTTTGACAAGCTTCGGGTTATTGAAAATGGATCCAAGCAAGAGCTGAGGCTGCTGCCAATTTCTCTCTCCTTAATTACAATCAATTTCTGTCGTGTGCACACCAGAAAGAAAAAAAAGAAAGGGCATTCCAAACTTCAGTGTGTGGAGACGGGAAGTACAACCTGTACTCGGACGCTTCATTCATAATGCTGAATGCAGAAGATGGTCAGAACATAGAGGAACAGGGGCTACTTGGACAGAATAATTTATGCCAGTTGCTCCCACAAAGGATACTGGCAAGGACTGTTTTCCTCATTACTCTCTTTGGAAACAATCTTTACACATCCCACCAGTAATGTAAGACTATAAATTAGTCCAGATAGATCACTTAGAGTGAACAGAAAAGATTTTCCAGATCAGAAATTAGCAGTGCATGATGATATATTTGGTTTCGATATTGTCTTCAGCGGTAATCCAAGAATCTGGTAACAACAAAAAGCAAACCTATGAAGCCAAGTATAAAGACAGCCTTGCAGTATAACACATTTGTTTAGTGCTGTAGGGGACCCCACCTCAGCTGCCCCCAGTCACCTGAAAGCCGGTTGTCCCAGGCTGAGCTAATCACCTGAAGCTTGTTCATAAATAGCAGCACCTTCACAAGGTGGTTTTGGCTTCCCTTTCTCAGAAACACCTTTTAGGATGAGAACAGCTTCCTGGAAATGTGTTTCCCTCTGCTGAATAAGAAGGCAACTTGGGATGACAAGGTTAGGCTGGGGCTGCAGTTCAGTTGTACAGTGAATACAGCCTTAGGGCTCCAGCCTAACTGTGGAAACATTTTTTGATGGCTTGACTTTTTATCGGCAGGACTTGCTCCAGACTTGGCATTATCCGTGCTCTCACAGTCAGGAGAAAGACAGCATAAACCAGCATAAACATGATGTCATGTGCTCAAGTTAATCTGATGGAAATGATGAGATGTACCTGCATGGGATGAGGCTCAGGTTAGGGCACTTCATAAGGATTAGGGATGGTGAAACCACCTGGGGCAGCTGGCGCTTTTGCTGTCAGAGGGGTCTGTAGCTTTCCTGTCCCTCTGGGCTCGATTTGCTCTGCGCCAAGCACATTTTGGAGGGCAAAGGCAGCAGTGGGGGACTGGTGAGGTATGGGGCTGGGCTGCCACCGGCGGGAGATGGCTGCTGCATTACCGGTTTGTAATGCCAAGCCTCCCCTAGCTGCCTCCAGTGCTGGGTTCACTCCCCAGGTTCTGCCTTCTCCACGTGAGAGAAGTGGGGGGGCAGGAAGAAAAGGAGCAACCAGCTCTTTAAGATTTGGGCCCACAAGCAATTGGCTCATGTCAGCCATCCCTTTGAAGTACCGGGGCTGTTTGTGGAGGCAGAGGATCACAGCTCAGCCCTGGACAAGCTGATTGTTTCAATCAAAGGTTTAAATGACTGCCACATGCAAATACGTGGAAGAAAAAGCTAAGCTCCACGGCAGCTCTGTCATCCTGGGTCCCCTCGAGAACCCAGAAGCATGGGGGTGCTCCAAGGCTCTTCAGCCATATCAGATGGTTTCTTGTTGCAGCTTGCACTGTCTGTCCTGAAGACAGACACAGGGGACAGCACTTTTAAGAATTTTAGGAGCTCAGGACTTATGCTTTAAAGCAGGTTTCACAAGTTTCTGTGGCAGCTTGGGCACGTCTTCTACATGACAGTGCTGGGGCACAGCTACAGACTCACCCCGTGCCTCAGTGTTTCCTTCAGAGTGGCTCTCAAGTGCTCCTTGTTTGGTGTGCAGGTGGGTTTCAAACTCACTGTAATGCACCCTTGCCTGATTCATGTTGGGTGCCTGAGTATCTGGATCACACCTTGAGTAGCCTCTTGACTCCAGCCTTGTGGATCTCTGTTCCCCATAGGTTCCTCACAGTCTGCAGCAGTGGAAGTCATTAAAACACTTACAAGGAACAGTAATACTGTCTTTAGAGTAAGGCATCTGTGAACGAGCTGTGAGATAGCTTGGTAAGGAGTAGAGGAAATGCCACTGTGCATCCAGGACACTTACTAATAGAATATAATAATGTGTTCACTCATTTTAAGTGACTGCACAGCACAGAATTGCAGATCTCATTTCACATTGCTGTTCAGTTCTAGGAAAAGTTAAATGATACTTGCACATAACTGCTTTTTGTGTCCTTCTATTGACCCCAACTATTTGAATGCCATGACAGAGTCCAAATGACAAATGTAAGGAGAATGAAAAAAGAAGAGCCGTTTGTCCAAAATTAGGCAGATCTGCCCGATGAGAGATTGTATCTTCTGTTTCCAATAAATTAAATGAGTTTGAGAGCTATCTGTGCTGCTGTCAAGCTGCTACTCCTCACCTGAGCTGTCCAGAGATGAATCATCTTTTAAAACTGATTTTTATGTTCATGATATCCAAAGAGGAGTTGCCAGCTAATTTGCATGGAAAGTTTTGCACTGCTTTTAGGAATGTGAAACTAAGTCTTTTAATCTTCTCTGGCCTTCATAAACTTGGAGAAGGAAAAGACACATATGACAAGATTAAGCATTATACAAACCCTATTTTAGTTTATTCCAGTATTTCCCAAACATCAGGCACTCCTTCTGTAGCAAATATGAAGGACCAGAGGCATAGGAATAGGTGGAAGTAGGGGAAAAGGTACAGGAGGCTTCAGATATACGTACATGAAGACATGCAAGTTTTACTGCAATATACTAAGGGTATGATTGATTTCATATGAAGGGCAAAGGGGCTGAATTTAAGCAAGCTGCGTTTGTTCAGGGCTCCAGCTTTGGAACCATCCAATTACGTCAGGCTCAGGCTTGTTTCTAAATGGTTTTCTACCTTTTACTGTTCAATAAAACACTTTGGAGATGTGAACAGCCTATGATGTAGATGTAGATGTAGATAAGCTTTCTTGAGTCAGCAGATAGCCTAAAAAAATAATCCCAAAGCCACAGCTCTTTCCTTCCATCACCAGGAGGTATTTATTCCAAGTCTTACCATCCTGAGATGGGAACACGGTGTAGGATGGAGGAAGAAAGACAACATGATGGCCATCCTTCCTAAGCAAACACTACCTGCTGCTGCCAAGGCACGGGGTGCTGCCAGACTAATGCTCTTGAGGGGACCCATGACTATGCCAAAGCTTCTAGGGAAGGAGGAGTATCCCACAGCTCCCATTTGTCAAAAAAAAGAGCCTGGCCACTATCACACCATATTTTTGGAGTCCTGGTGTGCTGATCCATGGGTTGCCAAACACAGCTCTCTGGGAAGGAGAACAACAAACAAACATTTGTGAAATCGTAATCGGAAGTGTAAGCTCATCCATGCTGTGTCACTTGTGTAAGACCTCCAGCTTACATCCTGTTTTGCCCCAGCCCAGGGGTCTACTGTCTTGAGCAGACCACAGGGTCGGAGCCTACTTATGACAATATTATTGGGTAGATTAATGTTCCACAGTTTCTCCAGTACCTCTGTTCACAGAGGAACAATTTCACAACAGGGTGCATGTAAATAAACACCAGAGCCAATGTGAGCAGGCTGAGCAAACCAGAAACACCACACATTGCAGAGGGAGCCACTTAGGCTCAAATCAGAAAACAAGCATAGTACTGTAAGGCTTAATATTGGTGAACACTTGCTTTTACTCTGCTGATCATGAGTTGATCTCATGTTAAAAATTGATGCTTAATGGATTATTTCTAATCATATTTCTGTTTGGTTTTTTTTCTTCTCCCTCACTCCAGTTTTACCCTCCTCACACCTGCAATTTAATATTGAAACATTAGCCATGTTGTGATTCCTTTTACTCCATCTTCTCTGACTTTCAGCACACAAACCATTTGGTGCAGGGACTGTATGTGTACAAACTTCATACTCTTCCAAAGTACCTTATCTGTTCTGGCTTCAGAGGGAGTTCATGGTCCCAGGGGACTGAGGCAAGGGGTGCAAAATGCAAGGACTCTGAACAAAAGAGCATGCCAATGCCTAAAGCTGTAATCCTTGGAGCTGTGAATTGGAAGGAGGAGACAAGCTTATCAGTACCATCTCATGGCCTCTGGAGGGGTGATACATAGATCTAAAGGTTGTACACACACAAGTTGCTGAGTTCCAAAGCTATGCTGGCAATGGAGAAGCTGCTCCATCTTCCTGTGCTGTGGAAGCTCTCCTTTCCATGCCCACAGCAGTTGTATCTCAAGACCCTGGGGGAGATGGGGGGCAGGCGTCATGGATTAATAGAAATCCAGGGATGCTGCTATTAAGATGTTCATCTACAACTTCTGAGCTTCTCAGTGGTTACAAGCTTATGGTGTTGTAGGGAGCAAAGGCAGATAGTAGCATGGGATTTCTGAGGATAATTGGTCTTTGCATTAAGAGGATGATTCACTGCATCAAACTTCAGATGTTTGCAGTGCAGCAAGTTCTCCACAATGAAGTGGAAATAGATACTTCTAGGGCACGGTTGATTTTGTCCTCACACAGATATCTACAACAGGTCAGATGAATCATCTGCTGTGAGTATTTCTTTCCACTGACTATATAGGGAACCTGGCCTCAGATGCAGACCTCTATATTACAGATATCTGGAGTGAGGTATACGGGGTACTTCAGAGAGATATTCACTCCAGACGTATGTGCAGAAGCAGCCTCTATGTTTATACATCAATGTTTTATGTATAGAAAAGACAGGAAGTATAAGTGTGTCCTCAGGGTTGAACCATGGATATTAATAGATTTTGATTGCATTCTCTGTGAATACAAACATCTAGAAAATCAGCAGAAAGCAGCTAAGGTCAAAATTTTGGTGCTAGTATGTAGTTCATAGTGACTTTCAATACATATGTTTAATGCTGATGTGTTTTAATTGAAGTATTTATTTATTACAAACAATACTGATGAAGTTTAGGATTTATCTTCTTGGTGAAGTAAATTTCAGTTTTCCCTCACATTTTTGTAAGGAGATTGCACACAAAGAAGTTTCACACAGAAAAGGTGTGTGATGTGGAGCTCCCTTTGTCCACAGCTGTGGGGACCTTCCAGCTGCTTGTAGGATCATGACAGATTACAGATTGGAGCCATATGTCTTTCCTTACCCTTAGGTCAATATACTTGCTGAAAGCTGCTACACTTGCCGTCTGAGTGGCAGAAGAGAAGTGGAGTGTATTACGACTTGGTCAGGTCCCTTTCTGCAGCTGTGGCAGACAGGAGAACCAACAATGGGAGCACCCTGCTCTGTTGCCACCCCGCTCTGGCCCCCTGCCCAGGGGTCCCTCAGCCTCACATCAAGGCTTTCCACCCCACATGTCCCTTACAGCTAGGAGACACATGCCCTGGGCCATACCATCAACTGTTCTGCCCACTGCCTCACTAGGGCCAATGACAGTAGCTCATGTGGGGCCCAGCACTGACTACCCACAGAAAACGGTAGGGAGCTCCCTTTGCCCACAGCCATGGGTAGCTTCCAGCTCCCTGCAGAAATGTGATGGGGCACAGGCTGGGGCTATCACCTGTTCCGTAGAGAGCTGACAGTTCTCCAGATGAGTGGCAGAGGAGGTAAAGCACAGGAGCGTGCCATGATGTAGTAACATCCCTGTCTGAGCATCCAGCTGTAATCCACAGAAGAAGCAATAAAGGAGGAGCAGCCACCTTCCATCATCATGGGCAGCCCCTGCCTCCCTGCTCTCTCCTCCCAGCCCTCACTCACCCGGTTACTCATCTGCCAGCCTGGAATGGTGCAGCCATTTTTATACCTGTCCAAGGCTAGCTGCCAACATTCTACCTGCTACAACATGGCCACAACATCACCAGGGCTAATGCCAGGAGCTGGTGGCTGCCTGCCATGATGTGACCATGACACCATCTGGGTTGGCTCATTACTGTGACATGGCTATTCCACCATTCCAGGGTGAAGAAACAAATAAACAAACAAAACCCCAACAACAGATAATGTTGAAGAGGGAAATTAAGCAGCAATCTGAAGAACAGCAGCTTAGCAAAGGTTAAAAAAGAATTAAAACCAGCAGGTCTTACCCGCTGCTTGATTTTAAAGATTTGTGTGGTACTTGCTGCCAGTATCTGTGGGTTTGAAGGCTAAATTCTGGAAGAAAAATGCTTGTCAAATTGACTGAAGGTAGTATTTCACAGCTTTGGAATTATAGGCATGTCCAGTGCCAAACCCTGCACTCAGGAGTGGCTGACAGTGCTGAGGACCAGCAGTGAGCTACAAGACTCATGTCTTTCTTTACCGGAAAGAGTAGAAGTTGCAAAGTGGACCTTCTTTGTTTACTTGGAGAGAGGAAACTGGAGGCCATCCTCCCTGAAGAAAGGGACCTCAGAACTATGAATCCCCAGAAGAGATACAGTGTTAATCCTCCTGACTCCCTCAGGTTCCCTGGCACTTCCTCGTTGTTTGGCCTTATGTCTACCACTGCCCAGCCACCGCCAATGCCTTTGAGTGGTATGACCACATTCTTCTGCTATGAAAATCCCAGAGCCTGGGTCCCAAGAGATCTTGCTATTGAAAATGCAGCGCTGGTCTTCTTGGGTCTGTGTTTCTTGTTGTTTGCCTCTGTGAGCTGTTTATTAAGTAGTCAAATAACAGCATACTAAGTAAATAATGTCTTGTCTTCCTTACAAGAAGTAAGAAAGACTTGCTACATTTTACAAATATGGAATAAGAAAAAAGTAAGACAAAATACATGGTGACTAACCCCATGGGTGAAAATATTTTAGGATAAAACACGCTGGAAATTGGAATGGTTTGCTTCCTGTTATGTACAAAATGGCTGCAAAGGAGCTATTAAAGTCTTTCAAATAAATACAGTGCTTTGTGTGTTTGTTTGTTTCTAGTTAGAGGTATACAATCATTCAAAAGACCATGTGCTGTATAGCCTCCGCAGGGCTTGCTTTGTAGTACAGATAGTGCCTAACCACTACTTTCCTCTCTCTTGATCACTAACGAAAACAGACCATATAGAGATGAAAGTGTTCTAAATCAGTGCTCTGTGTCATTTCCCACTTACTTTGCACTTTTCTGACAGCTGAAAGGCTGCAATAAATTGAGTGCATGCACACCCACAGAGAATGACAGTACCACCATAACCTAGCATCTCAGGACGTGTATTTTCTTCCCCAAGGGACTATACTGTAAAATTATCAAAGTGGGGGGCTTGTTAATGTCCTCCACTGGAATTCTAACATTAACATTTTGGTCAATGTGATTTCTTTGTGCATTGAGCTTTCCTGCTACTTTTCAAAAAATAAAAAAACATTTTGAACTTAAATAATTGAAAACTATTCTAATGCGATAGCTAAATAACAGTTTCATACTAACACATGTATGAATAAAAACTCAGGAATGTAATAACAGTAGATTTTTTTTTCTTTTGATCCCTTCTTTTCCTTCTGTCCTTTCATTCCTTTTTCTCATTTCCCTCCTCTTGCTCTTTCTTGCTTTTCCTTCCTCCTTCCCTCCATCCCTCCCTCCCTCCCTCCCTTCCTCTCTCCCTCCCTCCTTTCCTTCCTTCCTTCCCCATTTCCTCCCTTTTCCCCTTCCTTCCTTTCCTTCCTTCCTTCCTTCCTTCCTTCCTTCCTTCCTTCCTTCCTTCCTTCCTTCCTTCCTTCCTTCCTTCCTTCCTTCCTTCCTTCCTTCCTTCCCTCCCCCCCTCCCTCCCTCCCTTCCCCTTCTTTCTGTCCTTCTGTCCTTCCTTCTACCCTCCTGCCTTCCCTCCTGCCCTTCCTACCACTCTTGCTCCTTTTGTTTCTGCCTTTCTTTCTTTCCTCCTCCACTTCTAATTTTGTTTTGTAGGTAGTTGAAGATCTGGTTTATTTTAAAACAATGAAGAAGGCAGAATCCCCTGAGGTAAATTCATTGAGTACTGGGAGGTCTTGGTAACACAATTGAACTGGCACCAAATCAATAAAAACAGAACAGAAGAAAAAACAATAATTAAAACATTCTGTCAAAAAAATGGAGCAGTAATTAAAAGATGCAAACTATTGTTTTGCTACACTAATTACATTTTAATTTTCAATAGCTTGCTGAATAGTATAAAAGCCCATGCCTATAAAATGTCCCAGTGACAGTGCTCTTTCTGCAACTAGCGTGATAACAGTGTTTATGTGCTGTAACAGAGTGGTATGTGCTTTCAACTCTGTGTGGGTGAAACTAGCTTCCCTAGCTTCCTTGCAAGATAGCATGACAACAAAGTTGTTTTGCTTTTTTTTTTTTTTCTGGTGTGGAAAATTATTACTCAACACACACTCACACACACACATGCACGCACATATACATGCACACAAAAACAGGCTCAGTCCAAGAGACACTCTGCTCAGGGCACTTCCATTGACCTCAATGGGAATTTTCTGTGTGGCGCAATAATGGGTTGTTGGCCAGCATGAATACTGTACTTAGGTTTAGACCATGTTGTTTTCTTCACATGTTACCGAAGGATGAAGAGAAAAACAAATTGAATTTTCCTATTAATATACACCATTTGCAACCCTAACACATGCAACCTTTTAGGCAGGGTCCTGAGGACTTTTCTCACAGAACAATCCTCAGATTTCACTGGTAGATACCGATATATAAAAGCAACATAATAAAGCCCATATTGTGTACCGTTATGAATCATAATTGTCCTGAAAAAAATTACGTAATTCATTTAGCTCTTTTTGCAAAAAGTTTAGGGGACAGATTTCCATAGGCAGATTGAAGAAACACGCCAAATCAAGGGTACGTGGAAAGAAGTTTGTTACTGTTGTTTGCAGCAGCTCCACACAAAAACGAGTTATTCAGATGAGTCCTGGCAAAATCTGGATCCATTAGCTACAATCTGCTTCTCTACAGCTGTAGTTTACACACTCTGCCTTTCATATCATCTCATTTGAATGATAGAGCTCTCCCAGAAACAGGCATCCCATGTGTTCAGACGTGCCCCTAAAACAATAGATCCCTTCCATCAAAGTGGGAGCGGTGGGGAAATAATTTCTCAGAAACTAATCCCTAGATTTCAGATGTATGAAATCAATGAAATGCCTCAATCCATGAAAACGGTCAGCATTGCTAAACAATATTTCACAACTGCATAGCTTTTCTACATTTGCAATGTAATTTGGAATTACTTTGTAATAATATGAAAAATAATAATAAGACAGTGCCAAATGATGGTATAAAGTGAGTACCCTCCAAAACCTCCTAAATTCACCTCTCCATTGCATGTATTCATTCCCGTTCAGCTGGGAAGGATTAACAAGGTATAAATCTGGACAGTGTCAGCCTACTATCTGGAAATACATAGCAAGTAAATTTAAAAGGGAAGCCAGGATAACAATATTACCAAAACCAGGCTCACTTACACTGTGTACAACATCTGTATGTCCTTCTGGGGCGTGATAAGTTGATAGTGATCACACCAACAGTACTGGTACCTTTTGGAATGGAAGCTAACCTGGAGGTTAGAAAAGTTACTATAAATAGTACCATTTACATCCTGTGGAAAACTGCAGTTACATATTTTCACACACCAAAGTTGCAAAACCAAAACAAATACAAAACCCAGAGCAAAATCTGGCCAAACATTAAAAAAAAAAAAAGAAAAAAGAAACTCCTCTAGTTTAGAAAACTAGTCCCTTAGCTTCTGGGAATAGCCCAAATTGAAGGGGGTTTAGTGCTGATGCAAGAATAAATTGCTTAAAGAATTATCTCATGGACACATAGTATTCCCCAAATCCCTATTATTATGATGCTAGTGAAATATCCCGATTTACTGAAATTAAACAAAGACAGATATTTATTTAGAATTCCTGTAACTGCTACAACCAATAAATGTGTTTCATCACTATGATTGCAAAAACAAATACCTACCAGAGAAATGCAGTTCACAACAACACATAACTGAATGGAAATAGAAATTTTGTTAATGTTATGCTAATACTCATGGCAGATGTATTTGACTGAAGGGAAAATAAATTAGGAGAGCTGATTGAGATTGAGCCATGGGAGAGTCCCAGGGAGCAGTGAGCTGGCCAGCCCCTGTGCAGCGATGATGACCAGCTGCTAGGGCACAGGGAAGTTCTGGCCAACTGAGGAGGGGAAGGTGGGCTTGGTGTGGGGTACTAACAGTGTAACTGTGGTCCTGAGGACAGCAAGGAAGAAAGCAAAGATGTCCTTATGGTCCTTGGCAGACTGAAAAGGCCTTAGGATGCCTGAGCCATGCCGCCTCCCGTGCATCCGCTGAATGGAGGTGCCAGCACACCCTGAAACTATTCTTCCTATCATCTCACCCTAGCAGCCTCTGGAAATCTCTCACTAACCTCACTTCCAGAGCAACTTTGCAGACTCTGGCTATTGCAGATACAACCTTTTTTCTTAGTGTACACCTGCCCTAAGGGAGAATGCCACAACAGCATCAAAGTTGTAATTCTCTCACCACTACTATATGCTGGGTTGTTGGAGGATTAGACAGAAAGCAAGAAATTTCCTCACAGCAGACAGAGCATATGTGGCCAACTTGACATGGACAAGAGTGGAAATCACTCTATGGTTGGCACTTGTGGTATAGTCACAAAATGCTCATACTGCCAATAGCACCATTTGTTCTGGATAGACCATGGATCCTTGGAAGCTCATTTCATTGCCTGAGAAGACTGGAGCAAAAGTTAACACCAAGATACAGACTTTGTGTTTTCCTATTCTTCCTACACTTGATTCTTTGGAACATACAAAGGCTGTGGTTTCACAGCTTGGCAGAATAGGGCTATAACCAT